CCTCAAGTGGCCCCAAGGTGACCAATGAAGGCTATGGTGTGGAACTGTAGAGGGCTGGGTGGGCCCTGTACAGTTTCTCAAATCAAGGATGTCAGAAGACTCCACCACCCAAATATTTTTTTTTCCTTTTTGAAACTAAAAATTTGTGGATTTTACCAAAACTGTCTGTAAAAAGCTGGGGTTTGAGAATAGATGGTTTCTTGAGAAGCCTAATGGTACCAGAGGGGGGTTACTGCTGATGTGGGATGTTCAACAGAAATTAAGGAGATCATAGCTAATGAATTCTGTTTACAAGTGAATTTGAGAGGTGATGGGGAGGAGGAGTCGTACTCGATCATCTTTGTGTACATGAGCTGTGATAGACATGTGAGAAGGAGCCAGTAGGAGTTCTTTGAGAGTTGTAAAGTTTCCTGGGGGGATTGTTGGGCTATAGTGGGGGATTGGAATGCCATTACCTGCAATGAGGAGAAGAGGGGAGGAGTGACCAAGCCAGAGGCCAGGTTTAGAGAATTCAGTGATTTTATAGCTAACATGATTATGTTTGAAGTGGATCAAGTAGGCTCTTCTGTACTTGGGGAAATATTAGAATGCAGGAGGGATATATAGAGGAGAGGTTAGACAAGATGTTTGTTTCTCTTGACTGCCTGATTAAATTTCCTAGGATGCAAGTTTCTAATTTCTATAGGAGTGCATCTGACCACAATGTGCTCCTATTCTCTTCTGAGATGGGGATGACTCAGACTAAGAAAAGATTTTTTTTTTGATAGCAAATGGTTGGGAATGGATGGTGTAGCTGAAGCTGTGGCTAGTGGATGGGATATAGTGGTGGAAGGCTCTCATGTTTCAAGTACAGAAGAAATTTCAAAATACTGTGATGGTTTTGTTGGCCTAGTACAATCCTTTGAAGAGAGAATGTGAAGATGATTGAAAACCTCACTAACAAATTGGAGGATATGAGAATGGAAGGGGGTGATATGAACTGGGAGGTATGGGGACAGGTGAAATCATACTTGGAAGATGCTCATAAAGAGGAGGAGAGGTTTTGGAGACTCAAATCTTGAGCCTTGTGGTTCAAAAGTGGTGATAGGAACACCCGGTTTTTCCATTTATTTTTACAAATCAAAGAAGAAAAAGAAACTCTATTCAGTTCCTCATTTCCAGTGCTGGGGTGAAGTATGATTCCAAAGAGACTATGGAAGCTCACATTTCAGACTACTACAATCAAATTTTCAAATCAGAAGGGGCATGGGATGGTGAGGAGCTCCTCCAACAGATTCCTCACTCAATTTCAGATGCCATGAACAATGACTTCATTAAACCTGTGCTTCAAGAAGAGATAAAAGATGCCCTGTTTAATATGACACCTAACAAATCCCCGAGGGAAGATGCTATGACTGTTTCATTCTTTCAACATTTTTGGGATATTGTTCAAGGTGATGTTAGTTGTGCTGTTAGAAGCTTTTTCAATTCTGGGGTGATGCTTAAAAACTGGAACCATATAGTTATCACCCTTATTCCTAAGTGTTTATTACCTGAATCTCTGAGTAATTATGGACCAATTAGTCTATGTGGTAGGTTGTACAATATTGTGGCTAAAATTCTTGCTGAGAGGTTGAAATCTGTCCTTAATGATTGTGTTAGTCAGTCACAAACTGCTTTCATCCCTGGCAGACAACTGTTAGATAATGTTGTGCTAGTTCATGAGGTGTTTCATTTCTTACATAGACATATATTTGGTGTGCTAATGTGTTTGTGGCCATTAAAACTTGACATGGAGAAGGCTTATGACAGGGTGGAGTGGGAGAGTGTTAGACTGACTATGAAAAAGATGGGCATTCATCCTAAGTTTGTGAAGTGGATTTATGGATGTATCTCTTATTCTTCATTTTCTTTCAATTTAAATGGCAGTGTGTGTGGCTATATCTATCCATCTAGAGGAATTATACAGGATGACCCTCTATCACCCTATCTGTTCATCCTTGTTTCTGAGCTGTTCTTTGCTTTCCTGAGTCATAAAGTGCATTGTGGGCAATTTAAGGGGATTAAGATTTCTAGAGAGGGGCCTAGTTTGACTCACCTCTTATTTGTTGATGATGCCTTAGTATGTAACGCCCCACTTTTATTTGACGAAAGTCAACGGGGACTTTTTAAAATTCTTTTCATAAATCGTTTGGCGTTACTCGACATATAATCAACATTTACAAATTTTCACATATCAATTACTCGCAAGTAATTTAAACATCATTGAATATCCG